TAAAAATTACTGCACATGATTTTCTAAATTTGAAGCATTCACATTACAACATTTATTTACTACTATAAGTTAACTGCATATATAGAAAGCTGCAAGTTTCTGGCATAAATTGTGAAGGGAAAATAGCTGGCTTTTCCATGGAAACAAGGTTCATATCTTCTTCCACTTCACATGGTTATGATTCAATTTGTTTCCTTTAGTAGTTTTGTTTGTTAAAAAGAGATATGTTGCATGTGCAAGTCTGTGCGTGCTTTTTGTGTTTCTCCAATTCCTGCTCAAAGTAATTGTTTTCCATAAATTTATTATAAAATTAATCTGGAAATTCATGAGGTTTATATGCTGATAACTTCATGAGAAAGACTATCCTTTAGTAGTTTTGATTGTTAAGAAGAGATATATTGCCTGTGCAAGTCTGCGCGTGGTTGTTGTGTTTCTCCAATTCTTGCTCAAAGTAATTATTTGCTATAAATTTATTATATAATTAATGTGGAAATTCATAAGTATTATATGTTGTTAGCTTCATGAGAAAGACTACGAATGAGTGAGAGACTTGTATGCTTGTGCTAATTCTTTCATCTATGCAAACTTCATGTCATCAATTGTCAAAGCGTTTTCCATTTTGGTCGATCTTCTTCCTATCTTTTCAATTGTTGTGTTTCAACTTTTGTAGTGTAAATGAGATCTTTGCATATACCTTTTTTTGGAGGTAAAATAGGGGAAATTGCCCTATTAATAGTCGATGAATGGTTGTTGAACACATGATACATATTCTAAAATGTATACATATGAACATAGCCCTAATTTGTTTTATGAACTTTTGCCCTAATTTGTGTCAATTTCATCCTTTCCGTGATTTGATTCTAACTATTGTTTGGTGGAAATTTTGTGAAATGAAAAATGAAAGAATTGAATGTTTTATTCTCTCTAACTGCTTAGAAAAAGAATGTTTATAAATCTCTCAATCTCAATTACAATTTGGATTTCCGGATTATAAAAGAGCGAAGAATTGGTCCGAATCCTCCCTTTTGTTTAATTATGGGTTCTTCACAGTGGCGATGGAGTACCTCTCTTGAATGCTCGCGTCGAGTTTGCTCTCCGTTGACGATCCAAACGTCTTGTGTCACTGGAATGTGGTTTTCTCCTTACGATTTGATGTTATGGAGAACTTGCGTGGCAAGTTTTAAAGAACACTTGATGAGTTGATAACTCTGAACGAGTTTGAAACTCTATAGAGTTGATTTAACCAAAATCGGCTTGTAAGCCAAGGATGAAGAAAGCTCATGTTGTTGATCTCCAAAGCCCTAGCAATTCTCCTTAAAAGCCAGCCGAAGATCTCCTCTCTTTTGCCAAGTCGAAGGACTGAAGGATGAAGGACCGAAGGATCAAAGGACAAATCCGAGAGCCCAAACTTAATTAAGTTTTCTGCTATTTATTGGGGATTAAGGGGTATAACCGCCCCCTTAATTCGCTCCTAAGTTGGGCTGAATGGGGTGTAACCGCCCCCTTAAACAGCTCCCCAAATCATAGGGAAAAACGGTTTTAGACTTAAAACGCAGAGTTAGGACATAGAGAATTGTGTAGGGGCTAAGAGTGCCAAACAGTTTAGATTTATCCGAACCGATCCGCATCTATATCCAAATAGATGCGGATATGGTAAGGTATTTTTAAAACCGGGAGGATACGGTTTTAGATATGGATCTGATTTTAGTATTGTTTTTTGGATACGGATTCAGATACGGATATGAGAGTTTCAGATACAGATATCACAATTTAATAAACATAAGGATTCGGGTTGAATCAAAAGTTCCAAACTCGTAACCGCTAACCAACCCCAAAACCCAACTACAAAAGTAACAAAAGCATAGCCTCCACTCCACTGAGTCCACTCCAGCCGGCAACCTCCCACTCAATTTCTACAACCCGACAGTCCTGACCTATCGCCCACGTCGTCTTCTACAGTTCGCCTGTGTCGTCTTTGTCAGTTTACCCGTGTCATCTCAGCCAGTTCGTCCGCTTCGTCTAATTCTCTCGCCCGTCCAGTTCACCCGCGTCGCCTTTGTCAGTTTGCCTGTCATCTTTGGCCAGTTCGCATGTGTCGTCTCAGCCAGTTCACCCGCTTCATCCAGTTCGCTCGCCCGTCCAGTTCGCCCGTCATCTTCGGCCAGTTCGCCCGCCTTAAGTAAACTTTGTCCACCAAATAGCTAGTGGTTAGAAGAATACTTGGATTGGTATAGTCATCCTCACACCTCTCCATTTTGCACTTTTAGGATTATACTATTCAATATTGGTGTGTATCTATAAGATCAATAATGTAGCATAAGCTATGAATTGTATGAGAAAAAAGTTGTCTTGGCTATTGTTATACTTCAAAACCAAATGGGGAAGGGTGTTGTCATCGTCGCATGTGGGTTCTTAAGAACATGGTAGCCTCATGAGTCCCACTCCTTTTATTCCCATTTGTTGCTATAGAGAAGTGTCATGAATGCCTCCTTTTGGGGAGGGTTTTTGAATTAGAATCCCTTTGTAGATGAACTATGAGATTTGCTTCTCTACTCCATGTGCATTGTGCTGACAATAGTAAAAGATATGGTTGATTGCACAAATTATTATAAGGAAACTGGGCTGAGTTTTAATAATAGTTAATTATGATTTAAGAGAACTATACTAAATAATAAATTTGTACAAAGTTCATCTACCTATTTTTAGTTAATGAGAATCTAATGATTATATGTTTTCCTCTACTTTTTTGTTACACAAGTTGAAACTAGTAAGGATGATGTTCTTAATGTGGCTAAGATAGTGGAGGACGATGACTCAGAGATTGTCGAGACCTTTGTAAAAGCACCATTAGGTATGTTATTTGACTCAATAAGCACATGATTTGGAATTATTATTTTTACATATTTAACATGACAATTGTTCTTTTTTTTTGCAAGGTGACATCATGGAGGTCTACGACTCGGATGATGGGATTTGATATTATGCTTGCATCCATTGGTGTCATATTCTAGTTAACTTTTGATTGATGTGTTAGCTTGAAACACTAGAGAACTAATTATGTAGTTTTATTTGTTTGTGTTTGGTGTTTGTTTGAAGTAATTCCGATTATATGTGAATTAAGTTGTTTTGAATTGATGATATTACATATCTAAATTGCTCTTTTGATATTTTACTTTGTTGGTTATAGCAACTGCTTAGATACTTTATATCAAATCCAGGTACAATTAATGATATTGCATGTATTTGCGATTGCTGTATTATATTTTTATCATTTGCGACCACATACATTTATATAAGGAGAAGCCTACAACCACATAAATTTACCCATTTGGTTGTAATTTATACATAGGTGTACTAATTCATATCTGATTCATATCCATTTGTCGATTATCCATTTCATATCCGTGATCGTATCCGATCCGATTCTCAAATATCCGAACCGTATCCGTTTCTGATGAGTGTGGATATGATTAAGGTTTTTTCTTACCAAAGATAATCCATATTCGTATCCATTTACAGAAAGCGGATATGGATATGGTAAGTGTCATATTCGAACCGTATCCGTTCCGTTAACACCCCTAGTAGGGGCTATAGATGGAACTCATGTTTCAGCTTGTGTGATGCAAGATAGTCAAGTTCCATATCATAGAAAGAAAATTATGCTGACAATGAATATGATGTGTGCTTGTTCTTTTGATATGCGGCTCACATTTGTTATGAGTGGATGGGAAGGAAGTGCAAATGATTTATGAATTTTCTTAGAGTGCATTAGCAATCCCCGCAAACAAATTCCCTATGCCCATGTAAGACAGTATTATTTGGTTGACTCTGGATATACCAATATGCTGGGTTTTCTTTCACTGTATCGTGGAGAGCGCTATCATTTGAATGATTATCAAGACAGACTCTTCCACCGCAAAGTACTAGAGAACTATTCAATTACTTGCATTCGTCATTAAGTAATGTTATAGAATGATGCTTTGGGGTATTGAAAAAAAGATTTCCAATTTTAAGAGATATGCCTTCATATGGTTTGAGAAAACAAAAATATATAGCATTAGCAAGTTGCACTATTCACAACGTTATTCGAATGCATGATTTTGCAGATCCATTATTTATCAAGTTTGAAAGTGAAAATGTGGATCTTGAAGAAGATGATATGACTACACAAGAACAATAAACTATACCGGTCAATGTCGGCCCAGAGCACCTTCGTCAGATGTCAAGGTTTTGAGATCGTTTGGCCCAAAGGAGATGGAACGATCGTGGTGGGTAATATCAAGATGTGTTTTGAAATTGATGTATATTATATTGTAATGTCACTAAAATACATTTTGAGCATAATGCATATATATTATCAATGCCATTAGAACATGTTGAAAAATTAGTCATCATTGTTTCATGATGGTGGTGGCATATTAGAAATTAAAAAAAATTGAATTATAAGCATTGAAAAAGCTCTCGAACGCAAGAGTAAGGTTAAGTAGTTGGGTGTGACTAGTGGTTGTTGATTGGTATCATCTGCTATATAATGGTCAAACTAGTTTGACCAAATACTTTTAAAATAGTGTTTTGAAAATACTTTTGAAAAAAAACACCATTGCATGATGTTTTCTACAAAAACACAACAAGAAAATCACATTTGATTACCAAACACACCCTAAAATGGTTATTAATGGGTCCTAATTTTGTAGCAAAAAGATACAGAGGCTATTATGTAATGGTTGTACTTCCCATATCAAGGCGCGTGATGAAACATGCAAAACTCAGAATAGTGGTGTGTATATAACCAATCAAGTAGTTATGCAAGTTCCAGGGACCATAATCCTAACATTGGAGGTGTTACTTTTTATGGTGTCGTACAAGATATCATTAAAATAGACTATTGAGGCAAATTTAGTGTCGTGCTATTCATATGACTGGTTTTATTCGAAAATGTTGAATATGGGCTTATACGCATAAATTTTAATAACAAATGCCATATAAATGACCCTTTTGTCATGGCATGCCAAGTTCATCAAGTTTTCTATGTGAAGGATCATGTTGAAGAGGCAAACAAGATTTGGCATTATGTTTTAAAGAAGCTTTCTGGTCACATTTATGATATCAACAGTGATATTGGTGCTATACATGGAGATGACTATTGGGTTAAAAGTAGTGATATTTTCAGTGATTTAATCCCAACCACTGATGATGACATATATGATGTGGGTTGGTGTAGAGATGATGTGCCGATGTCCACTGTTGACATTCCTCCAAATATATATATATTGATTCAGATAATATAATGGAAGGTGATAAAGATAGTGACTTTGTTTAAACAGACTAGGGTTGGACGGAGTAAAGACATGAGACTATCTGTTTGGTTGAAATAAATGAGCTTTGAACTTTTGGAGGAAAGAACAAAATGTGTTGTTTGGTTATATAAGTAGTCTTATTTCTTCCCCAAGCATTAAATTAGAAATTATCTTACCAATTTAGACTTACAATATATTTTGATGGCATATCTATTGTATCTAAATTTTGTATCATGTAATTGACCAAATAGTTGATGACAAAAGACTATTCTAAACCTCACTTCTATATTGTTAATTGCTTACCTTCTTTCTGTATTTGGTTATTCCCAAGTTTATGTACAAATGTTTTTTCGAATGAGTAGGCACCAAACAAAGACATGAAAGATGGAAAACTTTGTGGATCAGCCTCTTCAAAACAAAGGAGATCAAATGTGGTAAGATTTATTCAAAATAGAGGAGGTCATTTGAGGATTTATTTGACTATCAATTGGCTTTCAGCTTATGTGTATATCAGTGACATGGATGGTTACTCATACCTTTTATGATTTTAACTTGAAGTCTCCTTACTTTGTATTATGCTTTTCGACTTTCATTGACATTTCTTGTTCAATTTCTACAATTTCTATATTTCCTAATGACTAAATAGTAACTATGGCTGAATTTCTGGGCTAAAAAACAATTTCTGGGTTTTGTCCTAGAGTACACTATAAATTAAAGTGGTATACTGCAATTTCTGTGACTTCTAGATTTTTCAGAGGATGGGTTGCAATTTTGGACTGAATTGTAAGAATTTATGTACTGAAGCATGGTTTTCGACTATTTTCATCAAAATCTATTGTTTTCATTGTCATAGAACCTGTTACACCGTTTATCGATTACAAGTTCAAAAAGAAAAAAAATTTGATCTTTTTATAAGATCTTCTTACACAATGAAAATTAAAGATTACAACTTTGTCCAACGAAACGTAGTAGTAGTTTATCTCTTGTTGCTTTGCGTGAGATCTTTGCTTGTGCCCAGGACACGTTGTCTGTGGACCGTCGCGGATCAGATTCGGTTGACAAGTTTAATTATGCTCTTGTTTCACGAAGGAAACAATCACAGCAGTGGGATGTGGGTGTGGTGACAAAAAGAAGCAAAATGATATCTTTCATCCTCCTGAATAGATTATAAATATGGCAGCGACGTGTCTTCAAGTACAACCGAAAGAACATAATCGGGTAAATGATATGGATAGGTTGAGAAAGTTTATGCCCAGTATATGTGAAACGCCTGCTAGAAATATTGCAATACAAAGAAAAGAGTTAGAGGAGGGGGCAAAGAAGAAAATGATCCGTATGAAGCAATCAAGATAGGAGAAAATGTTAGATGAAAGAGAAAATGCAGAGCAAGAAGTTTAGAAAAAATTCATAGAGCAAAAGGGACAATCTAGTAAGGCATGACAACAACTTCGGTATCATGCACAAATAAAAGTGATAGCAAGAGGAGAACACTCAACCAACTTAGACGATGAAGAGGAAGATATTAGAGAGGATTTCATAGAGAATGCTAAAGGATATGTTAGTGAACATGATGAGCAAGATGAAGATGAAGATATTGGGGAGGATTTATAGATGAGTCTAAAGGAGGTGAGGACTTAAGGGGACAACCGGCAAGAGAGGTAGCCAATAAAGTAGTAGACAAACCCAAAAAGTTAGACAAACCCAAAAAGTATCGAGGAAAAACTAAATGTCAAAAAGTTCATGCATGAAGTGTACATGATCGATAGGTTATCTTTTTAAATGGAAGTGGACAACCTATCGGACCGTCAGATAAGACATGTAGTGAACTTAGTAGTTTCTTAGGCACACTTGGAAGAAACTCAAGTTTTACACCTCTAGAGAAGGAAAATTGACACAAATTTGAAGAAAAAGATAAAGAAAATATGGGATTATGTTAAGGTGTGATTTTCATTTTTAATCGCTAATTTATATTTATTCTTCCCTCTTATTTATATCAAGTATTTATGATCACAATTTTTTACTGTCAAATTATGTCAATGTCGGAAAAATATGACATTCTGGTGGAAGAAAAAATGGACCCTGGAAACTGTCAACAATGCACGGAGGTGATGAAAATCTTTCCTGCAGAAGAAGTGCTTTGACGGGTTCAAAAATGACAAACAAAGAATGAAGACATGGCTAGATGCGATACTGGAAATAAATTTAAAGCCTTGCTCAAATTTAAAACCTTTTGCAGGTTGTTAATTCCATGTTAGTTCCCCTTTGCATGTCAGATTTCATTCTATATGGTTGCAGCTTGCTAGTTTTCTTTATAAGAAATTTATCTGAAATCAAACTTTTACACGAACCGTTCTTATGAATAATTGTTTATCACTGTATTAAATTTAGTAAATCTTTTGAAGCAAGTTATAATTTCATGAATCAATCTCCAATAAAACCAGCAACTAAACAGGTTTATCCTTGACTTAGGAAATATTACAATTAATAGCATGACAAGAGATGTGTAATTGAATTATGCTGCAAATCCTAGTACTTACTAAGGGCATGATTTGTATGTCTGAGCTGGAGAAACATAAAGTATCTAATTATCTACTTGTCCAATTATAATTCTAAGCACAATTTGAGATAAGCAACAACAAGATTAACCGAGGATCAGTTAAAAAATGAACAAGATGGTTAGCAGTTTCTTTCTATTTATCTGTTGCTTTCAGTTTTGTAAAACTCCAGAATTTTTATAATTTTATTGGAGGTCTTATTTAAGCTTTTATAAGTTTTATGATGTGTGCTTACCATTCTGTGACGAATAAGATCAGTTAGAATTTATTTGGAGTTTGTTTGCAGCTCGGGTTATGGTACCGCGAGTCTGCTGTCGTATAGCAGTTTGAACTATTTCAGGTGATTGGATGGGCAAAAGGATGATGTCATCGATCTTAGAATGTGGTTTTTATGCTTTGAGCTCAGTTTGGATCGATTTGGACTTCGTTTGCAATTTTGGTTCCGAGTCGCAAGCCAAATCGAAACCTATAGTTTTTAATTTTTAATATTTTATCTGTAACTCGGATGGATATGTGGTCAACGTCATCATTATCAGAACATCAAGATCGTACTAGAGGTAAATCAAAGATTTATTCTGGTACCGGAGAAAATCAGCTGAATTTCGCGTTGATAAAATACCCGAATATATAATTATGTTTATCTGTTTTAACTTAAGTTGCCATCCATTATGGAAAGTTGACTTGGTCAACTTTTAACATGAACCATTGTATAAGGGTTTGAGTGATGTGGATTTAATCTAGGGAAAATTGCTTGGGGGAACCAAATTAAATTCGTCTATGCATCCCCACCCCCCAACTAGAGTCAACCACTTGGGGGCACCTTGACCCAAATTTTCATGCTTTCTCACCCCAAACCCAACAGTGTTTCTCTACTTTATAGTGTATTTTCCAGCATTACCCATTTTGCCCTTTCTACTCTCATTTTCGATTTGGGTAACAGCGCTGAAATCGGCTTTGATCTGAAGAACTTGGGTTTTGTCTTATTCGCCAGCCAAGCAACCCATCATGAAGTAGCGGTAGTTAAATCAGTGAGCTGGGGAGTTTTATGCAGGGAAGAGGTAGAATTGGAGGGAAAAATGTACACGGTTCCCTCCAAAATATTGCATTCCTCATATATACTCTTCTCTCTAATGATCTACTCCTAAAATCTTCAACAACCTTCAACAATCATTTATATTCTGAACTTTTTCCTCTTAACTTCTTCAACAACAAAAATGGAAGATTCTTTAATGTGTGTGATTTTATTTAACAGTAATGCAACCCTTATTAAAGTCAATTCAGTAACAAGTTTAGCTGAATTGAAGATGAAAGCCGCAGAGAATTTTAGAGTACGGTTTGAAAGTTTGTTGATAAGTTACTCTATGGAGAAGTTTCCCAATATCTCGTTTGAGCTTTCAAAAGATGAAGATATTCTCAACATGATAGGTTATCATCGTTCAATGGGGTTAAATACATTGACCATGACTGTTACTGAAAGAGATGAAGGACCCACCCATGCCATAGGGACAAAAACAGAGCTTAAGTAAGTATTCAAAAGTATATTTTCATGTTCTGGATACACGTGACATATTCTGTTATATATGTGACCTGAAGACATACCACGTGACATTTGGACCTTATTTGTGATATATTGTCTTTATTTGTTGAAGACATACCACGTGACATTTGGACCTTATTTGTGATATATTGTCTTTATTTGTGACATTTGAGTCTTATATGTGACTTTACTGGTAAGTTTATTTGTGACATTTGAGTCTTATATGTGACTTTACTGGTAAGTATCACATGTGACTTATATGTGACCTTTACATTAAACCTGCAGTGTTCCTAATGTAAGCTCACAGTCATCAGAGCATATTGAGCAACCTTATGACAATCGAGGAATCAGAGAGGATCCCAAATGACAACCCTCAAGGAGAGCATGTGTACAGTATGAACGATGTAGTAAGTGACTCGTCACGGATCCTAGCATGGTGGCACGAGGCAATTACTAGAAAAGGGCAGCAATTTGAAAGTGCAAAAGAAGTTAGAATGTCTCTTATATACTACTCTATAGCTAAGAAGTTCGCTTTCAAATATGTTAACAATGAGCCAAAACATATTCATGCTAGTTGCATGTTTAGAGAAGAAACAAACTGCCCGTGGTTGTTTTTCGCTTCACTATTGAGCCACGTGTCGACATTTGCTATAAAGAAATTTGTTCCTCAATATACATGTGGACAACATAACAGCACAGCTGGTCACTTCAGAGCATCAAGAAGGTGGATTGCGAGTATGCTACAATCAATTATGAAGAGGCGTCCATATATAACCCCAACTAACATTAGAAAGGAATTGCACTCTCAATATGGATTAAGAGTTAATTATTCTAAAGCTTGGTGTGCTAAAGCGACAGCAAAAGATAAAATATTTGGTTGCGCAAGGCATTCATATAATTTACTATCCTGGTTAGTCCTCGTTATTTATTGATACGTGAACGTTATATTTCAACATCCAATGTGATATTTCAAAGTTATTTGTGACAACTTGTTCCTACATGTGAGATTTAAACCTTATATGTGATATTTTGACTTTATATGTGACGTTTGAGTATTACATGTGATAGTTAGATCTTGTATGTGATATTTGGACTTTATATGTGACGTTTAAGTATTACATATGATATTTAAACCTTATATGTGATATTTTGAGTTTATATGTGACGTTTGAGTATTTAACAAGTTATTTGTGATTTAACCATCATTTTAGGTACAAGATGAAGGTGACGGAAACAAATCCAGGCAGTGTCTTCAGCATTGAACAAGAAGAAAGGAGATTCAAACGTTTATTTGTGTCGTATGGTGCATGCATACAGGGGTTTCTCAAGGGATGTAGGCCGTTGCTCTTTCTTGATGGGACTTTTTTGAAGGATCGCTACAAAGGGATCTTATTAGGTGCGACCGCTTATGATGGTAATCAAGGCATATTTCCACTCGCATTTTCCGTTTGTGACCAAGAAAATGAAGCGAATTGGAGTTGGTTTATTCAAGGATTGTGATATATATTGTACAATCGAACAGAACCATACAATCCACCCCATCCTCTTGTAATTTTGTCAGACGCCGACAAAGGAATAAAGCAATCTTTGAAAGATATATTTCTAGATGCGTACCACTCTAGGTGTGTACTTCATCTTGTTGAGAACTATAAATTGAAGCTTAGAGAGATGGGTTTTGCCTCAAGTGCTGCTCAACGTATTTCAAAATTATTGGAGTTTGCTGCATACAAGTACACAGAAGGAGAATTTAATGCTGTTTTGCATCAAATTCGAATGACAGATCAAAGAGCTTATCAAGTAGCTCTAAGTTATGGTCCTAGTAATTGGGCCAATTCTGTATTTCCTGGTATAAGGTACGTCAATTATCATTACCTTTACTGGTGATATTATGCTGTTATATGAATTTGAGCCTTTAAATGTCACATTTCACTTTTATATGGGTCGTTCGCCGGTTACGTGTGACCTTTACTTGTATCGTGTGACAATACTCCATTACATGTGACCAATAGCCGTTATCTGTGATCATTTGTTGTTAGTTATGACATTTGTTAGTTATTTGTGACACATAGCGGTAAATTGTGGTAATGATTTTTTGTTTTTAATCAGATATGGGCATATCACTTCCAATGTCGCTGAATCTTTCAACAGTTGGATTCGTGTGGCGCGAACACTTCCCATTTGCGATATGATGGATCACATTCGTGTGAAAATTATAGAAAGGATGAATACTTGTCGCGAGATGGCAACAAAATGGAATAGCTATCTTTGTCCTGAAGCGGAAAAAATCCTCCAAGAAAATGTCACCAAGGGAAGCACTCTTGAAGTATCGCATTCTACAGCTGAAATCTTCGAGGTGTCATCAACAAAATCAGTACAAGTTGATTTGGAACACAAATCATGCACGTGTCGTGCATGGGATATATTGCGAATACCATGTAAACATGCGTGTGCTGCTATTAACTTCATGCATAGAGATGTGTACCAGTTCTGCGATTGGTTCATGACGACTGAAGCTTTCAGGAGAAGTTACGAACCAATCCTCTTTCCTGTTCCAAATTACGATAAGCCAGATGTCACAGATGAAACAATCAGCATTCTTCCCCCAAAGACGACAAAGAGACATGGAAGGAACAAGAATAGGCGTATCAACAATAGATCTGAGAGTAGACGTGTAATTAGATGCTCAAGATGTCATGCTGAAGGACATAACCGAGCAACGTGCACTGAACCTATCGAAGATTAACGTTTCCAGGCAGAATGCAAACGCTTTTGTGACTATTGTCTGTTACATGTGACTTTTGTCATTTTGTTGTGACATTTACTGCTTGTATGTGACAAATTACCTGTTCGTGTTACTTTTGCCACAAAAAATGTGACGTATTACCTGTTCGTGTATCACATGTGACTATTGTAACATACCACAACATACCAAAAGTCAATCATACCCACCAAAATGTCACATACAAGTCTAATAAGTCACACAACATTCTAAAACGTCACATAACGGCCTCAAATGTCACACAAAATAAAAAAGTATCACATACAAGAAGCAAAAGTCACACAGTACACTAAAACATCACACACAAGACTCAAGAGTCACAGAGCATACTAAAATGTCACATAACGGCCTCAAATATCACACAAAATAACAAAATGTCACATACAAGACTCAAAAGTCACACAGAACACTAAAACGTCACACACAAGACTCAAAGGTCACAGAGCATACTAAAACGTCACATGATGGCCTCAAATGTCACACAAAATAACAAAGTGTCACATACAAGACTCAAAAGTCACACAGAACACTAAAACGTCACATGTGACTTTTGCCATATGTGGCGTATCACCTGTTCGCGTGACGTATTACCTGTCCGGATTTAATATCTTCCAGAACAGATCACAAAGAATTTACAAATAGCTAGTAACTGATAAGGAGAATATAACACAGTCAGACCTGTACAAATGTAACATACCACAACATACCAAAAGTCAATCATACCTACCAAAATGTCACATACAAGTCTAATAAGTCTAACATACCACAACATACCAAAAGTCAATCATACCTACCAAAATGTCACATACAAGTCTAATAAGTCACACAACATACTAAAACGTCACATAACGGTATCATACCTACCAAAATGTCACATACAAGTCTAATAAGTCACACAACATACTAAAACGTCACATAACGGTCTCAAATGTCACACAAAATAAGAAAATGTCACATACAAGAAGCAAAAGTCACACAGTACATTAAAACGCACACACAAGACTCAAAAGTCACAGAGCATACTAAAACATCACATGATGGCCTCAAATGTCACACAAAATAACCAAATGTCACATACAAGACTCAAAAGTCACACAGAACACTAAAACGTCACATACAAGACTTAAAAGTCACACGGCATACTAAAACATCGCGTAACAGCCCCAAAAGTCGTCAACAGCAATCCAACAAATGTCACACACAGCTAGTAAACTGGTTAGCCTGTACATCACCACGTTCAAACAAATGTCACAGTTAATGTAGAGTCTAATACTTCCACTCAATCATAGGTACATCACTACCCCCAAAGTACAAAAAATATTCTGGATCATCAATGTCTAATTCCAACCGTAGTTTTTTCCTTTCACGCCCTTCACATATGAGTTGAGCAGCAAGTCCTGCTCGTAGCATATGTGACTCCCTGCGCAAGGCTTCAACTTGCATTATCTCCCTTTCCTCGAGGATCGCCTTGATGAAAAAATATGCATGTATGCCACAATCATACCTGTAGAAATATAACATAACACTTAATACCAGGATAGGTAACTAGTAACAAGAATATAACACAGAGAATGTAAAACTATCACATAACAGCCTCAAAGGTCACACAGAATACTGAAATGTCACATATGGGCACCAAAAGTCACACAGAATAACCAAAAGTCACATAATAGCCCCAAAATGTCACATAACAGCCCCAAAAGTCATACATAATACTGAAATGTCACATATGGGCCCCAAAAGTCACACAGAATAACCAAAAGTCACATAATAGCCCCAAAATGTCACATAACAGCCCCAAAAGTCACATAGAATACTGAAAAGTCACATATGGGCCCCAAAAATCACACAGAATAACCAAAAGTCACATAATAGCCCCAAAATGTCACATATGGATGTGAAAATATCACCCATTCAAGTATCACATGCATTAATAAACTGTTTAAGTGTAACAAACTTACGATCCTTTTTGCGTTCGACAGGGAACCGCTTCATAATTGAATGTTCTAAATGTCGAACTCTGGTCAAATCCACTCACTATCCTATCTAAAAATAGTTGGATGGTCAACACGTCCCTAGCCCATGCCTCGTAGCCAGCGGAGCTGTAATGCCTGCATTTTTTTTGCCCCAGATTGACCTCAAGGACATGCCAATGATCAGCATGACATATCGGGATTATCAACACATCGTTCCCTTCGACGATATGATTCTTTATATAGTTTTTATAGATCTTTCGCTCATCCAACTTTGAAGCAGTTAGCAACCAAATCTACAGGAAAAAGAAAAGAGATAAAGCGGGAGAAAGTCAAATAACATTTAACTGCAAAAAATGATCCACATTACTCACACTAAAATAGGATATGACAATAGCAAATTTGCGATCCCGAGCGGCATTTTCGGGCAGCTGGAGCCAGTTCCGAAGTCTTGCAACAAGGGCTTCAACCGTCTAATAATTGCAAACGTAATAAATCATGTAAATATCAAAAACTTGAGTAACACCGAAACTTAAACAAAAACTAACCTCATCCTTCAATCTTCCACCGCGTAGAAGATAAAGAATATCGTATCTGTTCATAGTTTGGTCCTCAACCTCCAAAACAATCCTCCTACAAAAATATATCACATACAAGAATATATAAGCGACATATCCAACCGATTAATAAACTGTCACAAGAAAACACTAAATGTCACATAAAAACTGTAATGATCACGATTTACGTGCTTATGTCACAAACGTCATGTAACTATCACAGACCACTTATATATATCACAGACCACTTATATATATCACAGAATAATACTTACTTGTCAACTTGTAATGTTAGAAAATGTTGAAGACACTTGTTTTCATTTTCCGACGCATCAGGTACATCACGAACAGTGAAATTATGATAAAATCCTTCGTCAACTGTTCTCGGTAGCCTGATGTCAAAGTCTTGGGCAGAAGGAATGCCCATATTCAACATTGACAATAAATTTTTTTCATCTACAGTTTTTTCCCTTCTCCATAGCTGAGGCACGGATGTTCTCATAGGTGGGTGTGCCATTTCATGTGGCTTCTTCTCCTCTATTGTCTCCCCCTTGTTATCATCATCTTTCACCACAACGACACTTTTTTCCCTTTCATCTTTTTCTTAGGCATTTCTGTACAATATGGAGATTCTAAAGACTTGGGCTTCTTCGTTGTTCTTCGGCTCCTTGCACGGAGCCCCTGAACAAATTCTCCTAAAGTTGCCTCACCTTCCTCCCTCCTCTTCCTTCCCCTCTTCTTCTTAGGAACTTCCTCAACAACTTTCCGTGCTTCAGACTATATAAAGATCACAGTTAATGAATATATATAATAGTAACATGACATGAATATATATCACATGAGGAAATCATGCATCACAAATAATAAGCAAAAGTCACAGATAAATTGTTTACGTCACAAATAACAGGGAGCTATCACAAACAGTGTGTACATGTCACAGACAACCAAATCTACCGTAGGAGAGTTACCTGCTCAAGTTCAACGCCCACTTCTTGGCCTTGATCACCTTCTCCCTCTGCTTTCTCTTCCTTCCCTCCTTCTTTCTCCGCCTAATCTTGTCTCTCTATTTGAGGCTGCATAAATGTTAAGAATGTAACCAATTTTGTTCAGTAAACTTTTCTCAACATATTTTTTCCTCGTTTGAAATAGGAAATAAATTATAACCTCTTCTTTTTTGGGCATGATTTGTTTCTCTTCCTCAAATCTTTTCTCAATTTCGGCCTTAATGGCCATCGTATCAACGCCACGAGCAGCAAGTTCTTGCTCATAGGATTCATTCAGCATCACCAACTTTTTATAAGCGTCATCCTACATTAACAATAAACTGATAGTGAGTAAATGTCACAAATACAAAGATCGCACATAAAGTCATCAACTTTACCCTTTTTCCACTCTTTTCTTCTTCGAAGCTTTTTCACCCCTAACTTCCTCCTCCATTTCAGCCTTCCTCTTTGTAGACTTATGCTTGATCTCCTCATGTACATACCACGGCAGGTCATGCTCCGGTAAGATGTGGATTGCGGCTTCTGATTTCTTCATTATTGTTGTAGTCCGCAGTGAACCCACCTTCTTACCCTCCAATGTCCAATTGGTCATTGGTGGCTTCGATTCATCTACTTTTGCCGGCTCCTTAATGTTTGATATCTCATAATACCATAGCTACAAAAAAGCCACATTCAAACAATGAAGTATCGCATATTAGATATAAATGTCACATGTAAATGGCAATAATCACATACCAGCAGATAATATCACACATTAACTACAAACATCACATATCAGGGCAAATATCACACATGGGTCACAGTGAACACATATAACTAGACAATATCACATGTAGAAGACACTTATCACATAAACACATATTAACTATAAATATCACATGTCATATATTAGTGTTATATATCACATGTAAATGGAAATAATCACGTGTAACAAGATAATATCAATATCACATATAAAGGGTAATGAATACCAATTAGGTTCAAATGTCACATATAAATCTCAAATATCACATATAAAGGGTAATGATCACAGATAAGGTGCAAATGTAACATATTACTTCCATTCTACACAGTTAACTCACCGATAGCAAGGGAGCGCAGCCGCTAAGATATGTCAGCCCCTTCGTCGCTTTCTTCACAGCCTTGAAGGAGTCCCACAATTCCTTATAGATGATTGTCGCCCATGGGAAATGATCAACTGCATCTATTCGAGCCACATATTTGAACATATGCCGCGGTGCATTCATTCTCGCGATCGGGGTCCATATCATTGTCAGTTGATAGAGGATTTGAAGCATAACAAAATCTGAAACATCGGATTTCTTTTTGGACCGAACCAATTTCTCCAATAGGGCCTCAAGGTAGCCTCAGCCACTCTTATATTGTGACTGTTACTTGTTGCTAAAGTATGTGGTCCATATCCTATTATC